TAATTTTAATAGTAATAATCTTTCTAGTCTGTTAAACCAAAACATCATTTCAAACGAAATATGCTACAAGAGAGTATCCAGAAGATGTCATTTTTCTCAAGTGATATTACAAGATACGCTTTGGTGCAAGTTGGAAGTTTCGCATTGACGCTGCGAACATTTGGTTAAGTTGGCTATTGATAGTACGAGGGATTCAAAACCAAAAGTTTTGGAAAAATTTCCCCTTATAATTGTGCGCATGTCAGGGAAAAGTAACGATAAAAACTGCTGAAAATTGCTATCCGACGGAATGCTATGAAAGGCTTTGTAATTACTTGAAGAAGACGAATGGAGAAGCTGTTTAGTTATTTGTAAACTAAGTTCAAACATATAAAGATGAGAGGAAAGGGATGTAAGCATCACTTCCATATCGTTTCCCACTGTTTATAAATTTGCGTTTTATTTATTTTCAAATTGATTGAAAAATTGATAATATTTTATCACATTCACCAAAAAAATTATAAAAAATATGAAGAGAATTATGAAAAATCATATGAAAAATCTGAAGAGAATTTGATTCATACCGAACCCATAGGAAAATGACCATATTTTGGCGTAAATAACAATCACAAATATATATTTAACTCACTAGAAAGTTGCATTTTATCAATTTAAAATTTATAGAAATATAAAGTAAACATACCAAAGGAAAGAAGTGTGTGTGATAAGCGATGATTGAGTGGCAACAGTTCAAGATAAAGCAAGAAAAATAATATTTTAGAATAATAATTTATCCAAATGTATTTCATTTTACCCGTTAATAAAAGGAGATGATGAATTAGTGACAAATTTTTACCGTCCTGAATTTTGATAATTTTGGTGTCAGAATAAATGTACCCTTTGATAGTCAGGGCAGGACTAATTTAATTTTTTTCTAGAGAAGAAAAGGAAAAGAAAAATCCATTTCCACATGAATAATATTTGAATATGAATAGTATTCGAATAGTATTTTTGTAATAGATAAAGGAAATGATAGGCTTTCCAAATGAAACTTTGGAAAATTTTTAAAATGTCCTGAAACCCTTAATCGTAGTTTCAGCCTAAACGAAATTTTAAAAACCCTCTTATTTCTTATCCTAAATTAGGAATTTCAGTAACAGTAAATACGACAATATGATATCCTTCAGGACTTCTATCTGCAAATTAAACCACAGTATGCTGATGAATATGGTAAGTTGAACTTATTGAAGTAAAAAGTCAACAGATCGTTAAACGCCTTTGAAAGATAGACGGTAATCAATTTTTTAACCGACTGATACAAACTAAAGTTAAATTGTAAATGATTTAATACTCAGATTATTTCGCTCTCATTTTATTAATGAATGTTGTTCATTATTAATATCCACTGTAGTTTCTGTTAACATTTCATAAATATTAGATTGACGATGAAATAATTACAATTTTTGCATCGCTGAACTTTACAGTTCCATATCCTCAAAGGAATGCCAAAATATTATTTGTTATTTAAATACTCATTTCTTGAATTGCACCTCCGATTTCTCTCTTCTTATTTATTTAAATCTATTTTAGACACAGACAAACTGAAAATTCTTTTTTATTTGAATCCGAAATGCGTCGTAAGGTGCCAACTTGCAATATCAATAACACAATTAGCTAAGAAACTGCTGACGAAGCATAGCACAGTTCCTGTCCAAGAAGTTTTGTAAGAGAGACGAAAGTCTTGAAGATGAAAGACGTATTGACCAGACATCAGGAGTTGACACCGACCAGTTGAGAACAAGCATTGAAGTTGACCTCTGCCAACTATGATAGTTCTCAAAGAACTCAACGTCAACTAGTTCATTACAATTTGACATTTGAAGTAAATTGAGAAGGTGGAAAAGCTCAATCTCTGTTCATCAAAGAACAACAACGAATCATTTCTCGTTTGGATTAGTGACGTGTGACCTCGTACGGAATTATATACAACAAACAACAACCGTTCCAATGGTTGGAGGGAGAAGCTGAAAGTATTTCCTAAAGGTCAACCTGCACTAAATAAAGTTCCGGTCACTGTTAAGTCTCTTATCAGTCTAATTCACCACATCTTTCTGAATTCCGGTGAAACTATTACATCGGAGTAGTTCCTTCCATAGATTAATGAAATGCTCTGAGAAGCGCAAAGCCTACAGCTTGAAGTCAATCAAAAGGCTCAGTTCTTCATAACAAAGTCCACAATATATGATCAGCGCTTTGCCTCATCAGCTATGTTGAACTTACCTTCAACCAAGGGACTAGAAGGACGCAAGAATACGTCGAATCCTGAAAGGAGGATTCTATACAGAGGGAAATACAAATTAACTTCTAGTTGATAACATGTGTAGTCGTCATAATTCTATCTTGACTAATAATGATTTGCTTGAGCCTAGTTATACTAATTTGAAACTTAACTTTTGTAAGTACAGCTTCTGCATTAAATTAATATTTTTTGAAACCGTACCTTCAAAAGCAAGTGCTAACTTAATGCAATACCAACGTAACTACAGTGGACTTTTTTGAAACGTCGAAATATACACTGCCTTAAGTGTCGAGTATTACTGGAATGAATGAGCCTCTTCCATTTAAACAAAGATCTCACTATGGCAACGAAATCCTCTTATTACTTTCAGCTTGCTAAGTAATAAAAGACTATTCGAAAAATCAAATACACTATCTATGTTTACCAGGCGACATTTTCATCTCATAATCAAGCCAAGTTCAAAACTCTGTAAGTGATTCACTTTAAAACGTAAATCTCAAATATTGTGGATGAAAAATTACGTCTTAGTAATAGATCGGAAATGTTGACAACTTTCAGAGTGCCTTGCCTAGAAGCAACGAGATTCACTATTTGCACTTTGCATTACAAACTATGTAATTTAATCTCAAAATGTCCTTCTACAATGTCGTGCTGTTTATTGTAACAAATTTTCATTCTCTTGGTAAAGAAGACACAAATTTTGTTTATTTTCATTGTCGCAAGATGTTTTATGCACAAGAGATGAGAAATATCACAATTTTATACGAATAGTTTGCGACCAAATCAAGCGATTGTCTTTTAAAAATAGGAAAATTTTTCAAAGGGAAAATCACAATACATTTTTCCTTGGTAATGTTTCAAAATGCTTAAAAATAAATGCTAAGTTGTTTATTTTTTCTATGAGCCAAGTCTCATAAGATTTGATAATAGTTCCTACTCAGTGAACTTATAGAAACATTAGTAGCTGATCCGCACAACTTAAAAGGAGCAGGAAACCTGATAGATTTGAAGCGAACATGAATGAACTAAAAAACCTCCGACTTATAACATATAAGAAGAAAAATTAAAATTCTTTACCGGAAATGTAATAAATTAGATTGCTGTATCAAATCGATCCAAAAATGATATCTGAAAGAGACAGGATGACCCGAAAATGATTGGAAGTGTCTCCAGGGACACTAATAACAAAATATTGAAGCTAAAAGTTATGAATCAATTGATCATTCTCTACGATTGAGATTTAAAAAACGAATAAAGCGGAACAAAGACTGCTATAAACTGAGTGGGAAATAGGGCTTAGTGCAACAATAGATTTGCAGAAACAATCAATTGAATAAAAATCCGGAAACAAAAAATAGGCTTGGTTCACTATTTGACGGCATTCCTAACAATGACAAGAGAAACCGGCAGAAGTACTTTTCCTCTTCCTCAGATAAATAACAAGGTCAATATTATATAAAATACTTCTTATTAGTGAAATTTAGACCTTTTAGGATGCCTGTCTTATACAATACAGAAAGGCGATTAGTGATTGGTTGATACTGAAACTAACCATCAAATGATATCTTCTTTTAAAGAAACATTGCTTTTTAGATTATCAGAGAGTTATATGTCATCATTAGTAGCATTGGTTGTATTGCATTGTTTCTCAATAGTGGCACGTCGTTTAACGACTAATCTTTGCTGCTTTTCGGGCGTTATAAGAGGTACCACAGTTGATGATAATTCTAATTGTTCCTGTTCTTGTGATGATTCTCGACGACGTTTTTTCCGGTTGGACGTAATGATGGGTCCAGTATCATCACGATTACCAACCACTGCTACCAGCGGTGATGATGATGATGCAGCTGTTAATTCGTTTCCAGAATCAGCAGTACTTTCATCTAGCCCTGGACTTCTGCAATTTTCAGCACAAATTGAAATGATGCACTTCGTTTTTTGTGAAATGACTCTTATCAGCAACAAGCTCAGTGTTTGAAATAAATAACAGCTAACCTTACCAAAAACCTTATCTCAGTCGTCTGTATAAATGAACATTTCAATTGATTCAGTTGACCAAATGGATCAAACTTCTATAGCTATAACAAAACTCAAATCAAATAAAGCAAACACCGTCAAACTCAAGAGAAATTCTCCTAAATCTTAAAATACCTTTCAGTTGAATAATGTATGAATTTACCCGGCTGAAGCAGAACTTTGTGGAGACTGGGATAGTTCGCTGGGATAAAATGAATCCACTATAACTAGCGAACGCTGCCTCTTTATATCCACTTCACCTTTCTTCATTCCTTTGACATAGTTATAACCCGCATCCTTTACTACCTGTAACTTTTTATTATACTGCTGTAAACGACCATATAGAAAACTTTCAAGTCAAAAACTTTCTTTTTTTGTAATTTTCTATAAAATTCTTTCCTTTTTTTAAAAAAAATTTCAAACCTGCCGAGCAAGTGGAAACAATTCGTCACGCCTGGTCAAAAGCGCAGGTTGCCGAAGGCATAACTGTGCAGCTGCTTCATTTACTGAAACCTCATGCAGAGTTAACGGTTTATCTGGTTTACGTTTCGCATCGAAGCGCCCATAAATTGCTGAATATCTCCGATATTCTTGTAGACGTTGGGGTGAGCCGAACGGTAGTTGCATTACATCTAGTAACTCTCTTAAAAAAAAATCTTAGAGAAATTGATTAGAATCGTCAAAATAATCTATTCCTATAACATTTTAATTCGGAGATATCACAGATTTTATGGAATCGACTTTCAAAGTTCTCTTCTGCTGACTATTGCTGTGGGTACAGATGGAATTGCAAAGCTTGATACAACGCACTGAATACTGAAATGAACTTCGACATACATAAAAAATATCCTCTCTATCAAACAAGGATCTATATCGCTCATTATGGCATAATTAATATTAACATCCCGTATTTGTGCCCAATTTAACTCTTCAAATCCAGAAAATTTAAAGAAAATTCAAGTTGATACATCTTAAAGAAATACTAGCAAAGCGATTACCGACTGATTTTCTTCTTATTCTGTATCAATTTAGGTTCTAGCTGCGGCATTTGTTCGATAAGACGATGGGAACATTGAGCAAGTCTTTCAATTTGCGCTTCCGTCAATATTGGCGTTTCCGATGTCGTACTTGTCCCTGCAGAAATATTATAAGTCTTTACAACCAATTTGCATATATCGTGATATGTTCTTAGCACGAAAGAAATGAACAGAGAAACAATCTCTTTATCGCACTCTACAGGTATTTTTAACTTCCCGATCAGTATTATTTCAAGAAAGATGATAATTATCTTCACTCACCCACTCCTAGTTGATCGAAATCGCAGTTCGCCTCATTACTGCTTGTTGGAGAACCTACAGAAAGTTGGATTAAGCCCGATGTTGTAGATGTATGTTCTGCGGATGAGGATGCCACCTTGGATGACTTCGCTGTTTCCAATCCTTGCATGGAATTAGATGCGGCACCACTACTACTGCTACAACTACCGCTGGACTGTGGTATTCCAGCCACTAAACTCGTCAGGAAATCACCGGCCATCACGTTTGCTGTAGCACCAATAGTCGCTGTGGTGGATGTTGTTCCTGAAGTGCCCACTCCGGCTACTGCAGCTACCGTTGCAGCATTGAATAATTCATGTAGCGATTCCGATGCTATAATTGACTTTCAATTAATCCTTCATTTACACTAGTTCCAATGATTTTAATCTCTTTAAAGAGGAGTTCAGTGAGTTAGGTTAGAGTAGAAAGACTTCGGGAGAAATTCAAATCCATTTTGAAAACTGCTGGAATCATTCTTTGGCAGAATTTATTTCAAAAATATCAACTGCATTTGAAATCGTCTCATTTTCTTAGCAGTAGTCGTTTTTTCTTAAATCAAACATTTAAAACTTGTAGAAATTTCGAAACAATTTTCGACTATTGCCAAATGAATCGTAGTAATTATAAGGTTATAGAAAAGTTATGTAGGTCATTTGAATGGATCAAACACTGACCTGACGCTAGTGGCTGTAAGAGTGATCTCGGCGAGCTTTGATCGTGCTGGAAAAACTTTCTAAAAATTGATTAGCCAAATGATTAAAAGAGAGGCGACATGCAACCTGCTTGGTTCTCTCTGGAGTTAAAAACTTCAAAAAGTTTTTCTCCACAACATTTTACAAGTAATCTTGCTTAACATTCAATTTTTCAATAATTCTTTTAAAAAAATTGAAAAATTACTGTAGTAGACGGATTAGTGCATGGCAAACCGGCAGCAACAGCCAAACTTGCAGCAGCTAGATTTTGTGATGACAGAAGTAATTGAAGGGCAGCAGTTGGAGTAGTTGATGTTGGCGGGATGTATCCATAGCTTGCAGCAGCAGGTGGTAAACCGATCTGCTGTATAGCAACCAGACTGAATGCATCCGGATCTTTACTGAATTCCTCAAATTAATACTTACATTCGATTATAGTATTCCAAAAAGTCAAAATGTCAGTACAATTTGTATATTCACCAATTTGGACTTAGGTAATTTTTCCCGTCAATAGCAATTTAACTGAAGATTTTCTTCAATTAGAAGTTAGCTTAAGTGATAGGAAAGTGATTATGAAAGATATGATAGATACATTATCAAGAAAAGCATGAGTGGAATTACATTTATAACAATTATGACAAGAATTACTGACAGTAAGCGTTCGTTGAAATCGTCGGACGTGAAGCGGCTTTGAGGCCATTCCGACCACTGACATTATTTCTAAGAATTCATGTTCGTCGCATGTCATGAATTGATTGATGTCATCTCCGCCTAAAAACTGAAAATCAATTATCGTATAATGGTAAAAATTAAATTACTTAAAGACTGCAAATATGTAAAAAGAGCTAGAATTGATAAATGAGTGGAAAGTCAAAGTGAAATATCTGAAATATCGATTAAGGCTGTTATGAATTTGGTCTCTTCTCTTCATCAAGAATTCAGCGACAACGATGCATATAATATAAATGTGAAAATCTGATTAAAAATTTAAAGAAATAAAAAATATTATCAATACGATTAAAAATATGCTTTGCTCCTTAAAAAATTCCAAGAAGCCAGCTTCTAAAGATTTCAAAATACCTTAAATCGTAAAACAATGGATGTAAGGACTTTATCCCGGACGGTTGCGAAGGAGTCTGGATTAATTTTTCCGTGTTTCTCATCATATTTCCTGTCAATTTAAGAATGTAACATTATTGCAAAGCATTGATAACACTCGTGCATGGAGTTAACTTTGGTTTTCTATACTTCGAAAAGTATTTACATCATATCTTTCAACACTTTATCGTTCTAGACTATGTGAATTTTAAGTATACGGTCATAAATTTAAAAAAAATACATTAATTTGCCAAAAGTCACTTACATCCAAAGTCGGAATTTGAAGAAATATCTGCTAAGTGTGAAAATTACTTTATTTTTTCAATGAAATCTGACTGATTCATTAGTATCATTAGGTTTGCGGATGTCGATGATAATTTTACATAGACACGAGGCACCTCATTATTAGGTCAAGATATCTCTAAATCAAAATATTGGAAGAAGAAGGAAGAGAAAGGGGATGCCATGCAAAGATCACAGCTAATTTTTTATTTGAAAAGGAGAAAGAAAAAAAAATACATTCTATTACAATTTCAAATGTATCAAACATCGGCAAAACACTAAATCGATATAAGTTCGGCAATAATTTCTTTTTCTCTTTTTTTTTCTTGAGAAATACCGATGTTACAACTGCATCAGCTCGGAAATATCCGGTGTTGTACTTACTTGCACAAAATCAAAATCATGAAAAAACTTGAAGCTATCAGTCGTTTAAGTCGTTACTGGTCAAGGACGGGAAGAGGACAGTAGGGACAGAATTTGGACATTGGTAGCAGTCGGAAACGTAGTACAAAATATGAACGTAAAAATATTCCTAAGAAATATATAAAAGCTTTAACCTTGAGCAATAAATTCATCGTAATACTGCAGTAAATTAGCCCGATGAAGTACAGCAAGTAGTTGCCATTCCGAAAAAGTTGTTGGTTGCCTGCTACCTGACCTGCAATTTAATATTAAAAAAATGAAACGAGAAGACGAAATAAGCTGCTAGAGCTGTTTGACCTTGTTGATTAGAATTTAATACTTTGTATTCCACCTGTCAACTTTTTATTACTTTGCAATCCTTTGGAAGTACTTCATTGCCTTGTCCAATATTTTATACGCATTGTACAGCCAAAATTGAGACAAAATTCTAAAAAAAATGTGATTTTCTACTAATCCCTCTTCTAAAACTTGTTCGATTTGTCTCACCTTTTGAAAAATTTACCAGCAAACGTGAAAACAGGTAAAAGCTTCAGTGCCTCGATATGTCCGAGATTTCGTGCAAATACGAATATGATGTTAAGACGGAACTAGAAATCCATAAAAACGTATTTCCTGTTTAACTTTTTCTACCTCCGTCTCACCCACCACACGGTTATTCAATATTACATTTTCTTTAATTAGTAAACTAGAGAGAGAAAAAAAAAACCCGAAAGATAACCTTGGCTGCTGCCGTGGTGGTGCGATAATCGATGAGGACGGGCTTGGTGTGCTTGGTAGCTCAGAAATTTTGTCGTCTGGTTGCGGAAGTTCACCCTGGGTCTTCGTCGCCAGATCCAGGTCTTCCAACTTGTTTTTCCAAGAAAAACGTTACCAATGAAAGAATTGAGGGACTGTTCAGTAAAATATAGAGCAAAACAATTCGGAAAAAAGAAATTTTACTGGAGCAGAAAATGCAAATGCATAATGATGGGAACCTGTTTTACAATGCAGGCAGATGGGTTAGCTTCAGTTTCACTTAAATTACTGCAATAAAATCAATATTGGCCAAATGTAGCCTAGTGACTACTACAGCCAGGAAAAAGCTCGAACAGCTATAATCGTTTTTATAGTGACAAAGAACGACAATGAATCGTAAAAACAATAATAATTTACGAGATCAGCTCTGGTGTTGGATTGACCCTGATGATAGTTGTGCTGGTGCTTTGCACACAAATAATGCATTCGATGCTATACGAATAATATTTGGAATACAGACCGATGACAACGAACGAATCTTCTACCTGTTATATCTGTTGCTGGTCTACACCCCGAGAACACTATTTTATAGCGTCCGGGGTTGATTTGGTTACATAAAAACCTGCAAAAAAGAAAAAATGAAATGCTTAAATTCCTTCAAACTTTACTGCATACACGTAAAAACATTTTTCGAGCACAACAACGAATATTTACAAAAATAAAAAGTAAAAAAATTAAGGAAAAAGAAAATAGCATGTCGTTTTTAATTATCATTTTTGTAATTTGCCTTTTTGAGGACGTTAACAGAGTAAAAAAATCATTAAGTTGTATGACTCATTGGTGCTAAGAAAACAAAAACTGAAAAGTATCTTTGCATTAGCTTGAAATAACACATTGGGTGGTCTTCACCGCTCCGATATTTCGAAAAAAAACAGTTAGAGAAACTGATTGGAAGAGTTAAGATTGTTTTTTATTTTCTTTTTACTGTTCTTTTTTGGATTAATTCCGACATAAGAAATTCTATAGAGAAGAGTCGAAAGAACCTGATAAGAATGTTCCAACTGACAAATTGGCACTTTTTTTGTGATCTTTTGGCAGTGATCCTGTGATCCGCTTGCCTGCAATGCATTTTGTACCTCTACAGGCAAAATAATCTTTCATTAGCAAAAATTTGTTCCTTTCTCTTCTCTAAACTTAGCAAATTCCAAGTTGTAAAAGTCGCCTAAACAGAAATGGATTAAGATTCTTTTATGACTAATGAGGCTTATTAAAATAATTTAGTGAGTAAAGTAATACTGTGTGGAACGTTGTAACCGTAGAAAAAGGCAATTTTTTTTAATTTAATTGGAAAAGTCGACTAATTTCCAGTTAAATTTTTTTTAAAAAAAAGAATGAAGAAAGAAAACGAAGAACAAAGTATCATCTCACAATTAGCACTTGAAAAGAAAGAAGAAAGAAACTAAAATTGAAAAAAAAATTAAATAGTCACCGAACAGATCATCGTTCTTCCATATCATCCAGTTCTTTCCTATGTTTAATCACCGTAGGTGCATCGAAGCACATACTTCGAAATGTCAATGAAAAAGAAAAAAAACAAATTAACTGGTGACAACTGAGGGAAGAAAGAAAGCTCAAAAAAGGAAAAATTATTTGATTGAATGGAAAATGATATTTCCAAAATTATGAGGACAACAATAACTCTTTTGACAAAGCGACAAATAACAATCTTGGGATGTATTAAAAAATTAAAGTTTCTCTTCTACTGAAAGATGATTGCATTCCTCCAAGTAACTAGCTGGAACAATGGTTAACACTGATCACCAAAAAATTAACTGTGAAGTCAATATCTCATTTCACAGTTGATATTGCTATCTCAGTGAATATGAAAGAACTATTTTAATTATGATCCTCCAGTACACAGACATTTTACAGTGGCGATCTATAATCGCTGGAGTTATTTATATTTGATAGGTATGGATTTCACGTCAAACTTCAGTGTAATGCATTTGATCCAGATACTAGAAAGGTTTTTTTTTACAATCGTGAGAGGAATCAAAAAAAGTGGGACTCTTTCAGGTCAAATAATATTTTATTGGAGATGAATTCGATAAACAAAAAAAAAGAGAGGGAAAGATGATCCTAAGATATAAATGGCAAGAAATTTACTTTATTGAAGCGAAATCTTTTTTTTTGCTTAAAAAAAAGCTTAGGAAATGTGTCAATGTGCATCTGAGGGAAATGTTCCTTTATCTATTTTTTTTCTTTTGAATTTATTTTAGCTTCTCATATAGATGGAATTCGAAGCCGTCTGATAGCAATAAGCAAAAACTACGAAATCCACTTTTGCAACATTTTTCAGCTTTTCATTCAAAATTCCCAAATCATAAATGCCATCCTCTTTTTTCTGTTATATTCAATAAAAATACAATTCATATCATTACTAAATCTGGTATATATTTAATGGAAATTTTCGCAACAAACTCAACTATTCTTACAACGTTCAAGTCCTATATATATATCACGACTATCTATGCGACAATAGGACAACTATTAATTCGGAAGGATTAGATTTGTTGGAAATGGGAGGTAGGTGTAACCGTCTTCAATGCTTTTCTTCCCAGACGTAAATCTAATAATTTTTAATTTTCATTTTTGCGTCCTTCCCTGCTAAGTGATTTAATCACATTATCATTTTATCTTGCTACCATAAAACTGTTCCCTTTCCACTTCTGCATTGAAGATCCAAAAAATATTATATGTCTACTCAGAACTTTGGAAGTCATTTAATGATCAGAAGAAAAGATTTTGCTACACAGCAAGAAATAACGGAACAAGAAGAGCGGCAGGACATGCCGAGGATCAGTGACCTCCGGAATATTAACAGATCTGGCTACTAATCTTTTTCATCGCGATTATCCTACTCTTCAGGCAGTTTCAAAAAAAAAAGAACGTTGGAAATACAAAGATATGAACCACCTAACACCTTCAATACGTCATTTTTGTAAGTAAAATATTGTGATACAAGCTTTTCTTCGTATATTTTCTCTCCCTCTCTTGCTCTCTCTCTCTCTCTCTCTCCTCTCTCTCTCCAAGTAGTTTTT